AATTAAATTAGTATTTTCGTCCAACTTTTCGGAGATTTCATTATAATATATTTATACATATACGTAGGTATGCGCACATGCAGCTACGTGTATAAATATATTTTTGTGTAGGCATTTACACAAATATACACTTGGGTGCGCGTGCAAGGGTGTATGTGGGGAATTTTGTCTGCCTTTCTCTTACTTTTAATTAACAGTTATTTAAAATCATTTACTCTTGAATATATATCAGCTTCTCACTCGCAATGATTAATGAGTGAGACGAATCGGTTTTTATATTAATTTTTATCATAAAGATTAAACGTATTTTTCAATTAAATTAATTACTTTTTACAAATAATCGACAATAAATAAATAAATATATATATATATATATATATATATATATATATGTATTGTGATTTTATTCTTTCTAATTTTCTACATTGAGATACCTGCGTTGGTAATTACTTTTACTTTTTTGATTCTCGTAAATTAAAAAAAAAAAATAGAATTATAAAATTCTATATATTTTCTTTTTAATTTATTAAACCCCATAATAAAATAATTTTGTAACAATTATCTAAATAAATATAGGAAAATAAAACAACATTTGGCTCATATAACTTTCTTTATATTTTGCCGCAAATTGATTATTTTAAGTATTTTCTTTTAAATTGATATAAACAATATATTAATTGTTTTATTATTTAATACGAAATTTAATAGTAATCATTATTAGCTGATATGGATAACTGACAGTCAATTTATTTAAAATATTTGATTTAGTTGATTTTTTAATTTACGTATAATGTAGATAAATATATGATTTCATTTTAAAATGAATATTTATATAAATCCTTTGTTGTTTGGTAATAAATTTAAGCTTATGTTAATATTATTTAATTGGTTCCCGTTAGTTTTAAAAGCCTTTATTATAAACGGTACAAAAATAGATAAATTTTAACATAATTAAAGGTAAAGCATAATGGAAGAAATTCTGTTCACTTCTTTTCCATTTTATCTTTTCCATATATAATAAAAAAATATTGCAATAATAATCCGCTCAATTAATCTTAAAATGTATAGTTTATTAATTTTGTCGATATAGTTTATACGTATGGTACGTGTATTATTATTCATTGTACTCATTATTGAAATATTATAAAATATAAAAAATCGCAGGTATCCATCGTTTCAGCAACTTATATATTGTTCTTCTAAAAAAATATAGACATAATTATGCAGGTATTTATGAATAGTATTACGCATATACAAGCGTAGTTGGTTTAAGTTTGAGGTACACGCCGAATGTAGCTTCTCAATTATTATTAATCACTCGTAATGATACCGTCGACAATGTACTTTAGTAAATTAGTAGATGAATCGAAAATGGTCTCAATACTATATTCTTTAAATTCTTGGGACTAAACTGAAATATGATTTAATATGTTGTACTTTCAAAATAGTTTTTCTACAATGGGATTGAAATCAATATTTTTATTGCTTTACTTGCATTTATTACACTATAGATTTTATGATTATATAAGGTGAATTCTCACCTTTGATATTTTTATGGGTGCTTTAGGATGTGAATATTTTAAAGTACATTCAGGAAAAGGGGAAACTATATTTCAAAATGGTAACGCGATTACATCATTCTACATTTAAATACATGTTCACCATTGCAATAATTCTAATTTATTTCTATGGAAGTAAATATATTTAACCAATTGTTTCATCTAGTCTGCCATAGTATTTATTTCAATTAAAATTTAATTCACTATTTTTCTTAACATTTACAATTAATTACATTTTTAAAATTATATACTTCATAAACATGAAATAAATTTGAATCTCGTAAATTATAAGAAACTATGGTGTGTACATTGAGATTTGTTCCTTCACAAGCAATCAAGATTCTTTTATATTAAAAAATTAAATTAAATATTAATTTAAATATCTATAAATAAAATATGTTTGTATTGTTAAATAAAGCATTCGAAATGAGATTTTTTTTAGTTTTTCATCTACATATACGAATGTCTTAAAAAATATTAATTAAAAATGATAGAATATATGCGACAGAATAAAAATTAATGAAAAAATAAGTAAATGCCGTTTAAAACGAAGAATAAATTTTTTACAACAATATTTATATTTTTCATTTTCGTATATAAATGAATTATCAAACATGTAACCACATAATTTTCTCTTTATCATGTACTTTTTATCAATTTTTATGATTAATAATAGATAAAAGTTATAATATGATTTAAAGATGACATTCAGTATAATGCGTAATTGAAAAGATTATTTGCATATTCTTTACGGTAAATCTAAAATTTAGTCAACATCTACCTAAGAATACCATTAAATTGCTACTTTTTCGTATAAATTACTCAAGATATTGTGCTGAAAAGTGTATAAATATTTACTAAATGAAAAAAAAAACAAAAATAAATAAATAAATCATAATTATAAAGTTTTGAGAAAAATATACTAGTTGCCAAAAAAAGGAAAAAAATACACGATTGATTAAAATTTGGTAATTTTCATTGAAAATAATTAACTAATATGTTGTTTAAATGTGGTATTATTATAATTAGATTGTAATTTAAAGTAAAACATCATTATGTAAATAGAAATGTAATAACAACTATATATTAAGAAGCATTAAATAATGCGAATATACGCTTTCAAAATAACATCATCTACCCTCGAAAACATAAAAAATTAAAGATAAAAATTAAGAAAACATTAAATTACTGCACTAGAAAACTTTAATTTCTTACTGAATAATTGATATAATTCTATCTTCGTTAAAGTATAGAGTTTCAACTTTCCTGCAGCGGAATTTTTGTCATCGAAACTATTATTCGCTTGTCTTTTGAACGTAACTTTAAAAGATTCTAGCATTAAAATACATTCAAGATAATAGAAAAATTAATTAATTTGAGATAAGTATCTAGATTTATCGGGTACGTACATGCTCAAATTTATATATAAATGAATTTATTACAATACAAGATAACAGACTATCAGAATTTAATAAAAAAAAAATAATATGTTTTACTTTGTTTGCCAGCACTGAAATTTAATAAAGCTGGGGAACAGGCAAAGTAGGGACAGGAAAAGTATTACCATCTTATTAATGGATAATCCACATGAACTAGTACTAGGACTTTCAAAGTATTCACTTACGGTTCTATAGCCTCCAATTAACCGAATAGCTAATATTTTGCTCTTTTGCTCTTTATGTATTTGCTTTATAAACTTTTATAATAGATTAATGACATGCTGTTTCAAATAATATTGAATAATAATATTTCGATGTATGATATACTTCTAAATTTTTTTCTCCATTTTTAGAACTATATTTTTAATTTTATTTTAATCCCGATAAAACTAGATATAAAAACATTATATGTTGTTTTGCTTTTCGACAAAGATACGTTAAAAATGCTATGTAAATAAATAAATAAATAAATAAATTAATAATAATAATAATAATAATAATAATAATAATAATAATAATAATAATAATAATAATAATAATAATAATAATAATAATAATAATAGCAACAATCGTAATGAATTAAAAGCTTTTATAACCTTTACTTTCTTGGTGATAATTGAATAAAAAAAAATGAAAAAGAAAACAAATTAATAAATAAATCATAAGTGCAGTAAAATATTTTGACAACACTCCAGTAGGAAAACTCTGAAATATAAAAAGAACATTTTTAATAGTATTGATTCATTACTAGTTTTTAATAGCTATTATATTAAAAATTTTAATAGTTGACTTTGCTGTTTAAGATTATACTGGAAGGCTTTCAAATTATAAGTAAAGGGAAGAAGACGTCATTTATTCGAATAATTTGTTAATTCCAAGTATTAGTTGAAATGACTTATAAGAAAAATACATTCCAAATATCTCCGGCTATTAATGAAAAGTAGCAAAATCTATGAAAAATATTATGGACCAATAAAAGTAAATGCATAAATTCATAGTTCAATGCAATTCAATATAGAAATATTCAACGACGTATATTTAATTGAATTTAATTGAATGATGACAAGCGTTTATTATTATTTGGAAATGTTTAAAACTATATAATATTTCATATATTTTGCTTGACAAATATTTTGACATTTAATATAAATTCAACCTATTTTTTTTGGATTGAAAAATATTTCTATATGACAATTTGAGTTTAGTGAGAATCTGAGTAAAACGCCTTAGTCGGTCATCTTCATTAAAATTAACGAAAATTTAAGTGCCCATAATGATATGAAAATTCCCTGACAAATTTTAGCCATTCTTTTTAAATAACTAATAAGTTATAAGAACAATTAATAAGTGTGTTTGTTATGAAATGTACGTGTAAATAAATTCTGCTATTTATAATTATTATAATATTAAATTTATTTGGAATCTGTTAAAAAATTTAACGGTCGGAAGATCGAAAGCCTATCATACAAGAACATGAAAATTTGTCACCCGTCAATGGTAGAATCCACACTGATATTGATTACCCATTATACGGTATTGATAAAGTATAACTTTATATTATCGACTTTCACATTACTATTATGTCAAATATATCATTAGACGAATCCCGACATTTTTAGCACCGAGCAAGTGTTTTAGAGGCAAAGTATAGTAGCAAAATGACGAGCTACGTTACGGAAAAAGGATTTTATTGCGAAGAAAAAGTAGGTTTAAGCAAATAGTTTCTCTCGCAACATTGATGGAAAAGAGGCGAATCCCCTTGCGTCCCAGCGTGCTCGTTTGCATTTGCACGTTCGGATGAGGACAGGAATCGACGCCTGGGCGGGTCAAGTGAAAGGTAGGCAAAGATGAGAAACAGGTGAGAGAAGGTTCGAATGGAGCCGGGCTTTTGCTAATTCGTGCGATAGCAGTGTAGCCCCGGAATGGGGTTTGGCGGACGGGGTGGGGGGGGTGGGGGGGGGGGGGGGGGGGGGGGGGGGGGGGGGGTAACAAGGGAGGGGATAAAGGGTGCGTCCCAGGATTTAAACCTCGTAGTTACGGAACTTGTTGATGATCTCGCTGGGCGGCTCGTTGTCCCAGTTGAGGTCACGACGGGCCCCGTAATGAATGTTGGCGCCGCCTTCGCTCGCGCGACGATTCGCGTTCGAGGGTTTGACCTTGGCGCGTCCACCCGCAGTTCCGCTATCTTCCGCTTCACTGCCCGGCAGCATTCGGTTCTTTGTCTTTGGCGTACTCCAGTGCATCGACTGTAAATAGATTAATCCCTTAATATTATGATCATTGAATAGCCTATGTTTTTCAAAGAGCATCCTCCAAGCCTTCTAACCTAATTATGACCATTATTTTATTCATATGAAATTAGAAAATACATCGAAAGTAATAATACGTGCATTAAGAAACCTAAGTAATTATAATTATCATAATAGTATAGAAGCACATGGTTAGCCGTCGTCATTTCTTGAAAAAAATTGGAATTCGACGTTAATTATCGTAAAGACCATAAATCAATATACACAAATGTTTATCGGAGTATTATACTTTGTCCTACTTAATTTCTCAAAAAGAGACTGTAATCCGCATAAATAATATAATTATTTATTTACAGCCAATTGTTTAAATAAAAATCAATTTTTAAATTATAATGAAATTAATATTATAAGTTAGAAATCTATTAAACATAAGATATAAAGATAAAACGGCAGAATATAGTATAAATTTCAATTTAGAATACACGATAATAATTACTATTAACTATTAATGATATTCGCATCTAATTAAATTTTTATATCATAATATCATCAAGTTTCAAAAATTGTGTACATAAGATAGTGGCGGAACGTTTTTATTTATATTTGTTAAATATTTATTCATTTGTATGGTTACTTATTTCTCGAATTGTTCTATTAAGAAATTACTTTAAATGTAGAAATTATCTTTATTAATTTATAAATAATTTTATGTAATTCAAATAATGTAATAACAAAGAATGTAATTAATATAATTTGATACCAGTAATGAATAAATATATATAATATAATTTATAAACAATTTAAATCATTTATAAAATGACGTATATAAATTAACTTATATATATTTGTATAAATTTATCGAAAATTTAAAATGAATACAAATTAAGCAAATAAAGTTACGTGTTTTGACTACTTTTGTAGAAAATGGTAAAAGAAATTATCAAACAGAAAAAAACTTCATTCTGATTCATTTATTTATAGGCGTTATTTCTTTTGTCCTTACAATTGCTGAATATTAAAATCAAACAAAAGTGAACGAGGAATTAAATAACAAAAGATTTGTATTATTATATTTGGAATATATATATATTGTTATTAAAAATTTTAAGCTCAATTTAGCAAATGAGAGAAATTACAATATTAAAATCGATACATTTATATATACATATATAATATTAAATTCTGCACATTGTAAATATGCAATGACTACATATACTATTAAAGAAAATCAATTATTATTCTAATTATATTGTTGGAACTTAATGTTTATTTTATGTCTTTTCATTTTGATTTCACTTAATTTAGTACACTCATCTCGAATTGAAAAAGTCTTTTTAATGTATAGTACATACATATATATATATATATATATATATATATATATATATGTGTGTGTGTGTGTGTGTGTGTGTGTATAAATAATCTATTGAATAGGCCTAAATACAACTAAAATCTATTTTCTTAAAATGCATTATAAAACTAAAAATAAAATTAACATATGACTTTAAATTTATTGTATTAATATATATAATAAATTTAGTAAGATTTTTTAAATAAAAACCTTTCATAATTTTACATACACAATTTATAAAATTATACATTTGTTATTTTTCATATTTCATGCATGAAATACCTTATGTATACAGCCTTTGAAAATGACTTATAAAATTTCTCAAATAAAATTCAAATTATGCATTACGTGGCTACAAAAAGTTATATGAGATCATAAATTTATAATGTTTAAAAATATATTTATTCTGGGATCTAAGTAAGAAATGAATAAATAATATTGACTTATAAATAACTAAAATTATTAGTAAAAATCGGAAATTTTTTTATAAAAATATTATTTAGAAAAAAAGTACTTGAATATATTCATTTTCTTTAATCCAGTTCACTTCTGCAGAGAGAGATCCTTGAATTTAGATCCTTGAAAATTTTATACAACAGTTTTTATCATGGACAAAAGAATTCTATGTAAATTCTTTCGTGAAAATTTTTAATTTATTCCTAAACGGTTTCTCCGTAGACCTTCTGCTTCCGCTCGTTCATTTTAATTCACAAAGTTTCTTTTAATCAATCATTATTGATCTATTAATAATTTACTAATTAGTTAAAAAAAAAAATCCTGATATTTGTAAATACTGTTTTTGCTACTACTATATGCATTGAACGAAAATGAATATGAAATACAGTAATACTTTTAATAAAAAGTAAATATTATTATGAAGTGATTATCAAAATAATTATTTTTAAAATCATTCTAATATTCTAATCTAAAAATCCTATTATTTTCTATAACTTTTTTTATTGAATCAATCCATCATTAAAGTATATTATTTTATTATAAAGAATCTCGTTTTTTTTTTTTTTTTTTTATACCAAATTAAAATTATACCAAAAATTAAAGTATATTGTCACAAAAATTCCCATTTATATTGCATGAATTTTATTTCGAAATTAATTTATTCCAAAAATGTGAAAATAGTAAAAAATAATTGTTTGATTAGACAAAAAAACAAATTGTTCTGCAGATTAAATTTAATGTAATAAAAATAAAAATAAACAATAGCTTCAAAATATTGAAATATATATTAGCATAATTGATTAATAATTAAACATAATGTTAGTAATTAGTTAAATATCAAGAAATTAATTCAATTATTACTTAAAATAATTCATTTGATAAATACTAAAGTGAATATAACAAGTACTATAAATTATTTATTGTACATGTACGGTTTTATTAAAATTATAATAACTAGCAGTAGTGTTTTACTATATGTTTCAAATTTTTATTACACATTCAATAAATAAATACAATTAGAATACTTCCAATGTTATGGACAATCTATTTAAAAGTATAATATAAAAATATATATCATAGAATTATCATAATTACTATTTCTAACAAGTTATATTTTGTTTGTTAAAGAATTTTAAATTTAGTTTATTTACTTCTATATAATAATGAAAATCTATGCAATTCAGAGTAAATAAATGTATTTCGAGTATAAGATCTTATTGGAAGTTTTTATCAACTCTCCGCTATTTCTCTGCTAGTAGAATGATAATTGTGTGAATATTATTTTAATTACTTTCACTTTTGTTTCCTCTTTTACTTGATTTAATATAAGAAAGTTATTTTCTAAATTTTAAATAGCACACTACCGTTTATTTGTTTTTACCAATTATATATACCAATTATTTATATTTTATTGATTATTTTAAATTTTAAAATGCTATTTTCCTTCTTTATTTTTGAAGATGGAAGTATCAGTTGAAAATCTTCATTTGACAACAAATTCTGGTATAATTTGTTTAACAGCTTAATTTCCCAATTTAATAAACAGTAGCTAATAATAAAATTAAATGGATTCAATTCTAATTTAAATCATCGCTCGTTATTAATAAAATTGAATTGTTACTTATTTAATTGCTATTAAATATTGATGATCAATTGTACCTAAAATTTGTTTGAAATTATCTTAATTTTTTCTTTTCCAATTATTTTAGATGGAGTTTTCCAACGTATTGCCCTCAATATGAATAATATTCCAATATGATTATTTAAATAGAGAAACGAGTAAAATTTTTATACCAACAAACATCTAGAGATTTATCAAATATATCAAAATATTTTGATTTATCAAATTATTCCGAATAATTTTTGATTCTTTTAAATTTAAGTTAAATTTATAAAAATCATGAATTTATTTTAACTATTTAGAGTTAAGCTGAGTGTTCGTGACACTCAAGTATAGCAAAATGTTTGTTTGCTGAATTTCGTTTATATAATTAAGAAAGTAAATAAACATGACTAAACATACCTAAGTATAGAATCATATGTAAGTTACTTTTAAATACAAGGAAAAGGGATATTTTAAGAAATTAGAATGAATTCTTTTAAAGAATGGAATGTGAACTTAAAGATAATGAATATTGAATATAGCAAGTAATGTTTTATATATAAATGTGATTGCTCCTATCAAAAAATTTAATTTATGCAAATAGGTAGAAGGCTAATCTTAAAAAACAGGTCGAACCCAATTAAACAGTTGATGATTTTGGAAATTCCATTATGTGAAAGGAAGTAGGTTAAGAGTATAGAGAGAATATTATATGAGTAAAAGTTGAATAATGAAGTTAGCAGTGAAACGTGACAAGTTTGCTTACAATAATTTAAATATATATTATGTAATTTTAAGAAATAGGTAAAAGCTTATTTGATTTTGAGTTTTCATTTTATAAATGCTGAAATTATATAAATTAATGTTAATAAATATCATTCATTCATACAAACAAAACATATTATGCTTTTAATAAAAATATTCCGTATAAAAAGCAGCTACATTTAAAGATGGAAAATTTGCATAACAGAAAATACTATTGTTTGTGTATATAATGTTTTTAGAATTAAATCCAATAATAAAATGTTGAACGATACAAAGGAAATTGATATTATAAATAAAATATTTATTAATAAAATAATATTCTTTAATTTAACTTAGTTCGATTGAAAGCCTCATACTTCGATAAATGTGTTTCATTGTGGTAATATAGTGCAATCTTTGAATATTAAAATAAAATAATCATAAGTATATTTTAAGAAACTTATCACATATTTATCAATTTAATTTCTTAATTTTGTTCAATTGGCTTAATTAGTATAATTAGATTTTCATTCGCTGTAATTATATATAAATTATAAGAATAAATTTTTCATTTTTTGAACGAGAAACTATAAATCTGTACTTCTTATATAAAATTCTAGATGTTTCCTATTCAAACAAAGAAATTTTATTTACACTAATATAACATTAACAAAATATAAATTTGCACATACTATTGATTGCTTCTGTCATCATTTATATACATTGTTTATAATGTAATTTATTTACAAATAAATTATTTTTCATTAAATATTATTGTTAATAATGATATTTATTTCAATTGACAGAATTAAATGAAGAGATGTAAAAAATATTCTTATTGATTCAGTCGTTTGAAGTTTGTTATTTTTATAAATTGCATTTATATTGCTCATAATATAATTTTAGTAATTTAATATAAATAGACAAGTGTTGATCGTTATAAAACATTTGTTAGAAAAAAAATTTAATCTTAAGATAGATTATTTTTAATTTGTAATCGTCAATTATTACGTTATCTAATAAACACAAATACACATTGTCTTATCCTCTATAGAAGTTCAGTTAGTTATAAAGTGAATAATACGACACTGATTTATTACCACCTTCGACTAGAATAGTTCGACAATTTTATCTTTTGAAATTCTTTATAAAGCTAATAGTTGCTGCTTCAAATAAAAGATCTATTTTTATACGAAATTCGAAAATAAAACGAGAACTTTAATAAAAACTTGACATTCCTGCATTAACTTTTATCTACTGATAAGCCAGAGTAGATTAATGTTCTTGGAAATTGTAAATGCTGTAGGTTAAGCGATCGGTAAGCAGGAAGAACTTTTGGAAAATGAGAAGTATTAGAATTATACGCGATAATGGCAATTTGCATGAATGTAGCGTAAAGGGTTGTGTAGTGCTGGTGGTTGCCAATTCCGTCACCCATTTGCCTAAATAATATAAAACAGAGATCATAATGGAGTACGCGATAACACCGGATAAATAAGCATTCTCGTGTCGTGTTTTGGCGTAGCAATATGTCCAGATTCTCGAGAAAAGTTTGGATTTGCTAGATCTGGACCGAAGTGACTTCTCGCCTCGCCTAGCAGTCCGTGGGGAGTTGGCAAGCGACGCGTGCACCACCCCAATTGACGAATTTAGGTCAGGAGCGCGTGTCACGTTTTTACTCCCCGCGACCATGAGGCCGAGGGTCCAAAATCTCTCTCACCTGGTGCACGTGGTCCTTCATCCCCAGCCACTGCTTGTAGCTGACGGAAATTCCGCTGTTCCGCCATTTGTCGTAGTTGCTTCGCTTTTCAGGGTCGCATAATATCTCCTTGGCATACTGCAAGTGAAAGGGAGAAAAGTCAATCTACCTACGTCTATGGATATGCGCAAGCGAGTATTGCGCCTGTGAATGGAGGAAAAATTGATTCCTTCTGAGCGCACACTGTCGCTCTTGTTCGTCTGTGTATCGATGTGCTCGCTAGGTTTTCCAAAGCAAGTATGCGTGTGCCCATGGAAGTCTTGCACGCGGAGGACTAATTGTCGTTAAGGTTTTCTGCGCGAACCGGGCAGTTTAAGCGCTTTTTAAAATTTAATTGACAATTCAGGCCGACCTCTATTCTTCACGATTGCATTTTTCGATCCTTTACTATAGTTCGCCACTCGCCTCCTTTACTCAGTTCGATCTCTTTATAAGGCAAGTTGAATTAGCATGATTAACAGTTTTAATTCATTCAAAGATAAATCGTGTTTCAATCGTTCCATGACATTCGCAATTTTCGATATCTTAAATTGACACTATTACTTTGTCATAATTACGTTCTTTATAATAATGATTAAGATGTATATTAAATTATTATTATGTATTAATATTGTCGTACAACACTTTACTTTTATAGTATTATTATATATTTATATTGTGGATATGTTCACACGTACGACCTAAAAATAAATTACTATGTTACATCGTTAGTCGAATATCGATTTGTAATAACCAAATAATTACCGTTAAAAATATATATTGTGTTCTGTAAATAATTTTTAGTCATTGTATTTATAATCTACTATGTTCGTTGTACAACAAAATTATATTTAATTCATTAATGTTGTGATTTACAAGATTCGAAAAATTGAAATAACTTAAGTAAAATGTCAATATTAAATTAAAATAAATGAATATAGAAAGAGAAAACGAAATATGCAAGCAATTTAAAATTTATAAAAAAATACTGGAATTTTTTTTTTTTTTTTTTTTTTTTTTTTAGGTAACATGTTCTTTTAATTGTCTTACATTATATTAATGTGTAAGTATTCAATATCCAAGATCTATATCGAGATCTCAATCGAAATGAAAAAATTTTAAATTAATGATTTTCCCTTCAGTAATGAAATAAATGTCAATTAATTTAACTATACATCACATAAATCAGAGTGGTCATTGATTTTTTTTTTATTCATTTATCATTAAAAATATAATCAATTGCCGTAGTTGTTATCAAATTACCAGCACTAATAATTTAATTCTTTCAAATTGCTAGTTATTATACGTTTCATTATTAGCTGCAGTTTTTATAATAAAAATTTAAGGACCCGCTTGAATTTTTAATACCATAGTTTAATATTTAAAAACGTATAAAAATTTTCGAATTATATAAAAATTATATCAACATAACATTTCAGTTATAAATCTAGTTAAATGTTTTTAATCAACTAATTTTTTTAAGATGTACTCAAATATATTTTGTTTGTGAAACTTGCGTAGCACTGCGTAGCACAAAATATCTATCCCATTAGCGTTTTCTCATGATACATTGTTTTTATAATACATGAATAAAGAAATTGAATATATATATATATATATATATATATATATATATATAAACTATAATATTTTTACTAGCTTAGTTAATGAGTTAAATAATTAAATAGTTAAATTTATCATTAGTAATTCAAATATTTGAATAATTTTTAGCAAATTTCTTATGTTTATTTATTTATAGAAATAAAAACTATTATTGATTCATATAAATTGATAATCATATATTGATAATTATCTGCGAATTCTATTTAATATTAAATAATTTTAGTGTTTTAGCGTTTAATGTTCTAGTATTTAAGTTTAGTGTTGCACAAAATTGAATATATTGAATAAATTGCAGGACAAATTCTAACAATCGTTGATTTACTATTATATTTTATTTTTCTACAAATATTGTATAATTTTTTGCAAAGTATTTCAGCCATAAATTCAATTAATTTATTCTATATGTATTTGATGTAACCTTAGAGCATTAATATTTTCAATTCAGTTTATTATGTTAAAATTAATAATATAATTATAAGATGAAACTACTTAAAGTATAATAAAATATTCATTCATTTTATTTTAGTAATAATCTTAAATTTTAATGAATTATTCACTTGAATATGAAAATATTTATGTAACTGATAGAGAAATAATAATAGACGAATAATGGATTTATGCATAACATATTATTTAATTTGATAAATGGCTTTTATCATGCCCTTTTCAATAACAAAAAAAAAATTAATAATAATAATAAATTGCAAAATGAAATAAATTATATAATTTGGATAACATTGGCAACAATTATAAAAATTCTGAATTTTAAGAAAATCCATATCCAGAATAAATATTACGAAAAATAATAGAAGTATAAACAACGATGCGTTCCATTATTACAACGTTAATATTTATTATTAAACTTTTTTGGATATTTCATTCAAGCCCAATACTTATTGAAAATAGTTATTAGTTAATACAGAATATGATTTTATAACTGAAATTCTGATCTCCATATCCGTTTACGGGGCTACCATATGGAATGAAGGATATTTCAAATATAGCAACCTATGATAGTTCGATAGATAAATATTGGATTTAACGGGCACAAATGCACGCACGCACGCACGCACACGTACGCACACACACACACATATATATATATATACATGTATGCAACTTTGCCTTCCGCACTCACTCACAAAATACATTTGTAATACAGTAGCAAAAGGGCATATTGACTTGTAATATATCCATTCAATTTGTTAAATCTAATGCGTGCGAATCTCTGTTTATACGTATTAATGTTTAAAGTCGTCAATATTTGTTATCATCCGCGACATTTAGCAATAATCTAATATGTGCGTATAGATTTAGTCGAGAGCATTGAGCGATTATGGTAATTTCGTGAGAATAAACGAATAAATTATAGCTCATGCAATTACTACTCATCTCAAGGAATCGTCTATCTTTTTTTCTTTTTCTTATTCTTTTTTACCTATTACTCTCCTTGGAATAGTTCATTTATCTCTCAAAGTCTATAGCGCGCGTTGATTACATTAACCACATAAGACTTACAACTTCATTATTTTAATTTAATTGAATTAGTTTAATGAAACTTTTAATTTAATGCACATACGGGTTGGAGATAGAAACAATAATTTTGTAAATTAATAAGATTTAAACGTTTAAATAAAAGGTTCTGATACATTCTAATACAGATCTTTTTAATCCTCTTTTTAATATAATCAGAAGAATAACTACTTTTACAGTTATTTATATTAATTACCAAAATATTGTAGTTTTTTTAATTAATAATTAGTAAATACAGAAAGCAAATCAAATAAATTTTAGTAAATTTATGTTTAAATAGGACTATTTGTTATTAAGTTCCTTCTGATGTCATTTTATTATTTGTGCTTCATTATTATTTAATTAATTGTTTCTTATAATTTATAATATTCATCTGAATTGAAATTGAAATTTTAATTAATAGAATTTTTTGGCATAAATTTGTATTATCTGCACCCATCCACTATATATATATATATATATATATATATATATATATATTGTATACTTTTTTAAAAAGCGAATTAGCAATAAATATTATATTATTTATTTTTAAATATTATTAAAATCATAAATATAATAAGGATAATTAAATAGAAAGTGTATAATGCATTTGGATACCATAAATTTTTCACGCATGATTAAATTTTAAATTACTTACGAAAAAAATATTTAGTTTCGGAATAACCAAATTATCTTCGTGTGTTACACAGTATAAATAACTAAATGCATAAAGTATATTTAATGATTTAAAAGGTCTCGAGTATTTGCATTCCAACTGACTACACTAACTTCTTATTTAATTTATTCATATAATACGTAATATTTTTGTATTCCTTTTATTGGATGCATTTACAATATAATTAAAAAAAAAAAAAAAAAACAGATAGATTAGATTTTTTTTAATACATAAAAGTTCGTAATTATATTAAAAGTAAAAGTAGTAATCACATTATGAATATTAATTTATTAGAGGAAGTTAAATTATGCTCGAATCCAATTTTAAAAGTTTAATAAGATTATTAATAGGTAATAGTTAGTTAATAAAGTTTAATTATAAATGATAATAACAAGCATTAATTCATTATGACTGAAACTTTATCCAACTGAAACAATTTAAGGCTTTACAATATTTTTGTTTTAATATCTTATCATTTCCTTAAATTTAATTTGTTAATTAATCCTCTTATCATTATTATTTGTGAATTTAATGAGTTAATTATAGTATTGTAAATTTTAATCATATTTTATCTCTAGATAATTTAAATTATAATACTTAAAATTCCTGCTTAATTTATTTATGTAAATAACCATAATCAGTTTCAAAATATATTGTCTCTCAAATGTATATAAAAAAAAAAAGTAGTAAATACATATTTTTTTATTAATTATAGTTGAATTTATCATCTTTTATAAAATTTAATGTCAATTTAATAGAGATTTTTGATAGTTTCAATACAGGCAAACGCTTAAGACCAGCATAGGTTTCTCACAAATTTGTAGCGAAATAATTAAAAATACTGCATAGCCTCTGAATATATTAACAAAGAAATAACTATTTGTCATTTTGTCTTAAAGCTTTCAAAATTAACCAAACTATCTCGGCATTTAATGAGAAGTGACTTAGTAATTTTAACTGAGACTTGTCTCATAATAAGGACCGTTTAAGCGAACAAGTTGCATACAGTACTTATGGTTAATAGGTGAATACTCCATTTATTAAGGAGTTTCACAGATATACATGGACTGTCCCAGTCTATTAGAGAAAATCAGCGAAATTAGATACAATTAAAAGGCCTGACAGTGATTATTATTAAAATAAAAAATAAAACCAAATACATAAATGAAATTGTATAGAGACAAACATTAATAGATTCAATTTTCACACATTTTTTGACAAATTAAATTCCAATTCCGTAATTAATTTCATTCTACTTCTTCAAGATTTTATAATATATTGCAATGAAATATAAAGATCTAATAAAAATATACCTATCTTATCATTATTATATTTCAACTGATGAAAAATTTCATCATTTCAATAGATGAAGTATTACTATTCACATTAAGTAAATGTAATTCTGAATTTATTTTCTTGTACTATAATTTGTACAGAAGAACGATAATTTAATAATAAAGAAAATAGACCATCGTAACTTTTAAATCTAGTTTCAATACAAATTCATATCAATAACATTTCTATTTTCACACTTTATTCAAACAAATATATGTATTTTCATTTATAATGAAATAATTTTAACTTCAAAAGGACTAATAAAGTAAATTGTACAAGAACAATATTATTCAAGTACACGAAGAAATATGAATAAGCCCTGACAAATATTCAAAGTCAAATTTATTAGTGCAAACATTAGTAAAATCGACGATATGTAAATTTAAATATACTTATTTCATTAAAAATGATATCATAGTTTAAATTGTAATTGCTCTAAAACTTAATTTCTGGATTTAAACTACATTTTATTTGTATTTCTAATTTTAAACTTATTTTATAGTTTAATAATAATAATTCTTTCATCATTTAAGACAAAATTTTCTACAAACTTAGCTGTAATGTACATTAATTATTTCATTTTTGAAAATATAATTTTAAACTCTCATATGACAGTCTATTGATTCTTATAACGAACAAAATTAGTTTTTATTATAATGTTTAAAAAGTTTTTGATTTATTATATGTTTCTCAAAGACATTGTTTTTTTTTTTTTTAATTCTAAATCCTTTTGAAGAATGTAAATTACGTTTTTTTTACGATTACATATATAAAATATTGCTATTAATAATTTTCCTTAGTTTTCAGTTTTAATAATTTAATATTGTTCATGGTGGAAATCATATCGATCCTCTTTGTATTTCTTTACCGATGCATATTAAAACTTTCACTAAAATCTTTTATCAATGAAGCTGATTATCATTTGACTCATTAATCAGTTACGTATTACAAATGAAAATATACTTACAATATATGTTTGAAATATATAATATAAATTATTACTGATTATCAGAAATTGTTAATTGAAAATTTACATTCAGTTGTTGAAACTTAGCCTCGGCATCCTTGTTGCCCTCATTTTTGTCGGGATGATACTGCAGTGCTAAGACCTTGTACTCGGCAGTGATTTGTTCAATCTGTAAAATAAAAAAGAGTAAAATTTTAATTATGATAGCTAAGAATTTGTATAAAATACTTTTGATTTTATGACATAGAAAATGAAAAAAAAAAGCAACATTCTTAAGGAGTTCATAAATTAATATTAATATTTGTTATTGAATTTTATTAATGATTTATATATTATTGTATCTAAATTTTATTGCATAATCTTATTCTGACTTATAATAAATTTGAAATTTCCTTTATTTGGATTTGCAAATACAGAAAGAATAGCTAACAATTTTTATTTTATCTTGTATATTTATATATTATATAAGATATAAATTCTGATTAATGAATTTTTTTTTTTTTTTTTTTAATAAATATATCTTAATTGATTTATATATATAATATATTAATAAAAGACAAAGAATTTCTACTAAAATTTGTTTTTGTAAAATAAATGGCACTGATGTAATGCTGATAAACTTAGAAAATAAATTAAGTTTATAAATAACATATAAACACTATAAACAGATAAAGTAAATTATTATTGAACTTCATAAGTTTAATTTATATATAACAAAGTTTAAATAATTTTAAATAAACCACTCAAATGAATGTAATAATAAAATATGTAAAATTATAATTAGAATTAATTAACTTTATTCTTTAAACCTGCTGTTTGGATTATATTCTTATTATTTTTTGTTCTATTAACATTTTATTAACGTAGTAATTTTATGATATATATAAATATTTTGAAATTATTAAGATTTATCATTAATATGATTTTTATTTATAACACAAAATTTAATGTTCGTTTAAAAAATTTACTGCCATAATTCTAATAAATGTCTTCTAAATGAATTTTATATCAGTTGAGCACGTGAAATATGTTTTTACGTTAATAATACATTATTAAATTTTTACTATAAAATACTATATAATAAATATTATTGTTAAAAAAAAATCTTGTAAAATATTTGCAGAAAGGTATCGAATTGCCTATTAAGATATATTATTTATAAAGTGGATTTAAAAACTTCTCATTTAATTTAATTTAATTATTCATAATAGTACAAATATTTCCTGTCCATAATTAGTGAACAAATTAATATTGTATGCTTAGCTTCAATATGTTCTTATAAAATAATTTACTTATAGTAGTAACAAACAAAAATTATTCTATCAATTTTTCATTTTTCACGTGATTACTATTGCCTAAAATAATATCAAATATTACACGAACCATTTAGTTAAATAATGAAGTATAATTTATTAGTATTATTACTAACTATATAAGATATAATATTCCCTAACATATAAATAAATACAAATTCTGGCAAAAATATAGTGTTAAATATTGAATAATTCTTAATGTATTTATGTATTAATGTATACTAAATACACAAGATTTTATAATAATTATACTAAAGCACTTTTTTTAATTTTCTAACGCTTGTATAATATCTGCTCTTCAAATTCTTGTATAAAATCAAGATGTCATCACATACACATACACAAGTGCGCACGTTCAGTGTGCATAATTTAAGAAATCTATGCCTCTTATTTTCAATATATACGTTTGATTATAATTCATCAAGTTACGTCATTAAAAATTTGTTCACTTAATTTTTGTGCGAAATTACCCGTCACATTTTTCCCATCTTAATCTTACTATTGTTATTTTTTTATTTATCAATTTCCTTATCATTATAATTATATTTTTTTTTATTATATACATACAGAATTTTAATATAAAATCAGTATTCGTTGAATATTGAATAGATACATTTACATTTAAAAATATTTTAAATAAAAATTGAAAAAGAGAAATATACTACTTCACAAATTAGTATCGAATATTTCAAACTATGAATTCGATGATTCAAAAGTGAGAATATTGATTTGATCGCCAGAAGAACAAATATATATATATATTGAAATATTTGAAACAGAATACATAAATTCAAAAGCTTTTCATGAAACTCTAATATTTGCTTTTACGACGTACAATATATTTAATTATTAAACGTAATTAGTATATATTGATTATTTTTATAATCATTGTAATATATTCAATCAATAAAAAGTTTTTACAAATTCTACTATATCTTCGATAACTTTATTAATATTCGCTGACTCTCTAGATGTTCAATTTATAAAACACATGACTTGTAAATGATGCATATTTAAATTTCATAGATAAAAGTGTGTATATGAAATTTATGAGATTGCGTCATAGAATATTGATTATTTATAAAGCACCTTGCGATCAATAAATCATTGAAATTAGCATTTTTTAACTGATTAAGCCAAGTGATATATTTGATAAAACTGTAATTAAATTATTAAATTAAGATTCTATTGTAAATATCGTAAGATAAAAAACTTTTTCAATTATTGTCACCCAATAATTATAAAACACTCAATTATTGCGCTTATCATCACCTCCAACAAAATTGTTTCATCTTGTTTATAATATCGCTTAAAAAAAAAATGTTGTAATTTTATTACACGCTGTTAAAAACTTGTTAAATATATTAAATTATTGCTTGCACTGATGTGTAATACAATTATTTCATTTTGATATAAATATCATTTATAAGATATGTAAGGCAGTGGAAATTTCTTAATATCATTACTAATTATTTTTAATTTATTAATATAATGCATATTTATTAATATTATGCAATGAATTCTTGAACCGTATTTATAGAAATAATTATCGTTGTAGTCTGACTTGACTTATTTCCAAAAACAATATTTAAATGCCGTTGCAACGAAAGTAGTTTATACGAAAATTGTACAACTATACAATAACATTTTAAGACTAAACATTTTAACTTTACATTTTAAGATTTAACACATATTGTGTTGAGCACACAACATGTGATTATTGATTCATCACTATTTTTTATATAGAATAAACAATAATATATAAATATAATTATGTAAAATATCATTTTACAAGAACTCGAAATAAGGCATTATTTTAAAGTGCTCCGCGTATAATAAAATCTATTAGTTAATGTGTAAGATTATAAATAATGTTTGACTGATGCATAATTATCGCAGTACGTCAAGACGATAGCATAATATGGACCACGGCAGATGGTTTGAAAAATAGTTTTTTCTTTAAACTTAAAAACAAAAAAAAGAAGCTTTCTTTTTTATAGCAATATATAAAATACATTAAAATTGAGAAGTTTAGCCTCGAAAGAAATGGCTCGTCACTCCGATTTTCAAGCCTTAGACACTACGTCCTTACCGTAGCTGACTCGTCACAACCAAGTAGCCCATATAGGTCTTCCTCTGGGCTGGGCTGGTAGCTCAACACGTCGTCGACGCTCATCTCGATCCTTGATCCTCGATCTTCGATACCTTCGTAATGCTGGCGCGCAACCTGTTGCCCGGCGATAACCGGCACGGCGAGATGTACGTGCGTGCGTGTGTGCGTGCGGCCTCGCGCCAAGACTGAGTCGTCGGAAAAGCCCCGGGAAAACACCGCCCGAGTCGCCGTATGTGCCGATACTGCGCAGTTCCACGCTCACCGAGATAGAGATCGATCCGGGAGGACGAGGGCGAGAGGGTGGGAAGGCGAGCGAGGCGCGCGCAACCCCTGGCGACCTTGGAAAAGGGCGGCGGCTAGAGGGCAATGAGGTCGCGATTTCGTATCTCGAGCTGCCACTCGTTCAACCTATCCGCTCTTACTCGGCGATTATCTCCTTCGTGAGATACGAACTCTTCTCTCTTGCATCTGCAAAATAAATGGAATAAACGAAATGCCCACGAGCTTTACTATACCTATTAACTATCTATTACCGACACAACTATTACCTGCCCATCAAGGGCATCACCCCCCCCCCCCCCCCCCCCCCCCCCCCCCCCCCCCCCCCCCCCCGGTGTTGCGGGGGGGCGCGG